CTCACTTCACTGAGGGGCGGGGCGGGGGACATGAGCAAAGAAGAGTTTGGTAAATCAAACCATACTTGACTTGAAATGAACTAGGGAAGGGGGCTATTGAAAGGACATGGCTGAGCTTAAGAAGAGTTGACCAGCCAGTTCATTCCAACTCCGGGTCACCCTGTGGGTGTCGGGGTAGGGCTGTGCTCCCCAGCGTTTCCGGTGACTGATTTGTTAGAAGCAGGTCCCGCGGCCTTTCTTCCAAGATGCATTTGGACGGGCGCCAACGGCCAATCTTTCTGTGAGCAGCAGGGCATGTTAAGCTTTACACCACCCAGGGCCTCCCGTTGACCTCGAATCCTTTGAATATTCCTCGCTCACCACCAGACATCTTCAGGAACATTTGGTGGTTATTTTAAGAAGAAACTGGGGGTGGGCGGGGAGGTGTGATGACCAAGAGCCCTGGCAGTGATGAAAGCACTCGGTTGGCACTTGGGACCCACCAGCCACTCTGAGAGAGGAAGACGGGCATGGTCTGCTGCTTGACACGTGACACTCAGTGGGGCAGTTCTACGTTATCCTACGGGGTGCTGGGAGTCAGGAATCCAGGGCACGGTTGCAGTGGGTTTGGTTTATTCACCAATCAGTCAACATCAGATGGCTTGTCTCCATAACTGATTGAGTACTGGGGAGCCTGAAGGAATAGGCCCTGGGGTGGCCCACTCTGACAGGGTCAGATTCCATGTCTCGGTGCCATGGCTGTGCCATCATACTGGGTTTGGGTCTCGGGCTGCTTGCTGGGATCCACATCTGGCAAAGCAGCTCGTCTAGACTGTTGCTAATGTGCCCTCCCCTTTTCTTCAGTTAAGAAAGCACCCCTCAGCTGCAAACGTCCGTCACAGGCCATCACCCCTCACCTGGGGATACCAACACACACACACACACACACACACACACACACACACACACGGTCTGCTTGAAGACTCAGTTCCTAGTCCATAGGAAGAGTCGCCCGCAGCTACATGCCTGTGGAGAACGACTGATCCTGTTGGCTGATGTGATTAATCACGGACATCTCTGGAGGTTTGGAAGGAAAACCTCTGCTGCCAATATTGGAAAAAGAATGTTCTAAGGAACCACCTCAAGTCAGCATATATATCATGGATTCCCAAGCCCGTCTGTTCCTTTCAGTCAGAGGTCTCTAAAAAATAGGTTCTTGGAGCCGACTCAGACCCCAGTCAGAACTCCCTGTGGGACAGGAAATCTACATGTTTAAAAGTGCCCCGGGGATGGAGCTGGGGCCATGTTGGTATAGTAGGGGCCATGCCGGAATGGGTTGCTTACTGCAAGGTCAGTAGTTTGAACCCACCAGCCATTCTGTGGAAGAGGAGGCTTCCTGCTCCTGTGGAAAACTTACAGCCTGACAGGGGCAGTTCCACTCTGTCCTAGGAGAGGAGCAGAATCTACACCAAGGCAGGGAGGTGCTTTATTTGTTTCATCAGGAAATTCTGTGATAAGCCACCTGCGAGAGCCACAGATTTAAATTCAGGAAAGAATTCAAAATCTCTCCTCTTCCATACTAACCATTATCAGCTTTTAGAATATTGCCTTCTAACCTAAACTATTCCTTGGAAATAATTTATATATAGATCCCATCCTCTAACTGGCTGGGAATCACTTCTAATTCCCAGTGACCCTCGGCATAGAAATAAAGGAAAAGCCTCCCTTTATCCTGGTGGCACGGTGAATTCTGCATTGTGCTGCTCACCCAAAGGCCAGTAGTTCAAACTCACCAATTCCCATGGGAAAAGGATGAGGCTTCCCACTGCCATAAAGAGTTAGTCTCAGAAACCCAGAGGGGGCAGCTGTACTCTGTTCTACAGGGTTGCTGTGGGTTGAAATTGAGTCCACAGCAGTGGGTTACTACCTTCATTATCTGTTGACTCCACAGAGATAGGTATTAACTACAAGTCAAAAGACCCATCCTTATTTGCTGAAATCAGAGATGACTATGAACAATATAAAAATAATAAGAGAGAAAGAAGCTTTTGCCTCTGGTGTGTTCCTGTGTGTGTGTGTGTTTGCTTTTCATTTGTGGAAACATTCTTTACTGGGAAACAACAGCAGATGGGGAGGGAATACTGCTTCTCCCAATAGCAGTCAGTCCCGGTAACTCCTGGTTCAGTGCAGGATTTCATCCTCATGGGATTGTGAAAGCTACTGGTCACAACCAGGCCCTGCAACACTCCCCAGAAGGCAGGATAAGATCGCTTAAAGAGGTATGTAGAGGCAGCCCCTCTTTACAGAAGTAGATGGCCAGCCCTTTCTTTGGAGGTGCTTCCCGGTGGACATGAACTGTTACTCTTCCAGTTAGCTGCTGGATGTGTTACCTAGGGAAACCCCAACCTTCAGTTTCCATCAGAAGTGCCTGTGGTCCTTGTTTAAATGCAGATGGCCAGACCCCATTTCCCTCATCAGACTCATTTCTAGGCTGGGAATGGAGCCTAGAAATCTTGCCTTGTTAACTAGGGGTAGGGGGCATCCATCCTCTCGCTCAGGCAAGACTCCCCCTACAGCATAGGATTTAGGCAATGCCTATCACAGACTAGGAGCCCTGGTGGCTCAGTGGTTACGAGTTGGGCTGTTAACTGCCCAAGATCAGTAGTTCAAAACCATCAGCCACTCTGAGGGAGAAAGGTACTTCCATAAAGAGTTATATTCTTGGAAACCCACAGGGGCAGTTCTACCTTGTCCTATAGGGTCACTATGATTCCTTCAACTCGATGGCAGTGAGTTTGGTTTTTGGTTTTTGTCGCAAACTACTCCCTCTCCCCCCACCACCCCCTAACTCCCATTAATGGCTCACCAACTCCTGGGGCTATTAGGTTTTGTTTCTAAACAGCAAATTTAATGGAAGCTTCTAAGAGATACTCTACATTCCAGATTCAAAATTATTCAACATGCATGGACACCAAGACACCAAGACACAGACGTGTTGACGAATTAAATGCATAACGAACTGACCTGCTTCTCTGGGTACTTGTTTATCAGATTCAAAAACAAGGCATAACATCTGGAATAGTTGGCCAGGGCCGCACAGCAGTCATGGTAGGAAGTAAGTTTGCTGCAGAAATGCCAAGTGGGGAAATAAAAATAAGCTTTATTTTTCAGTCAAAGTCCAATTCCCACAGTGTCACTTTAAAAACAGCCCTTCAAAGGGTTTCCCAGTTGATGACAGGAACATAGAAAGAAAGGCCCAGCACACCAGTCCAGACGCAGCAAGGGCGCCTGCTGCTGTTCTAGAAGCTGCAGAGCCAGAGGAGAAGAAGAATCTTTTTTTATTTTTTAAAGGTCCTTAAGGAAATGGAAACCGCAGGTTAACCACCTTTTTAAGGTGTGAACTTATGCTAGCCACGAGATTCAGAAACGGAAGTGAAGGGCCTTAGTAAAATCTGGTTGGATTGCCCTGGGGGTCTTGGTGAACAAATATGAAACCATTATATCAGCAAATACTAACCAAGCAAATGCTGGTAAATTGTATTACTCTACCAGGGCAGATAAACTACAGCAAAAAGTTTTCAAAATAGCTTCAAAATATATAAAGTAAAACCAAACCATATAATCTCAAGCCAAACCCCGCCCCCCGCCAAAGGCCATATCCACAAATCCACATCAAACTGGGAGCGTTCCATAAACCTCTCTCAATAATCGACAGCTGAATATGTAGAACATCATTCATATTTTAAAAACTGACCACGCAGAGGCCATAGGCAAATCCCACAAATCCCAGAGAAAGGGTATCCATGGATCACATTCTCCAGTCAGCATGCAATCAAATTCAAGGTCAATAAAACAAGGTTATATATATATATATACTCTTGAAAATTGAACAAGAAATGTTTCCCAACTCATTTTTTGAGGTGAATATAAACTTGAACTTAAACCAGGCAAGAGCAATCTAAGAAGGTTACTAGTTACGATGACACATGATCGTAGCAGAAAAATCCCCAACCAAATATGTGATAACTGAGCCCAGCAATATACAGCGGTTTAATACTGGGAAGTCTATTAACATAATACTTTACATTAACAAATTAAAAAAGGAAAACTACACAATCAGAATTAGTTCAGGGCACACAGAGAAAAGGTGACATCAATTCATGAGAAAAGTTCTTCCCTGACTTAACAAAGAGCTATGACAAATATTAATATTATTTTATGAACCCCATACAAATATGTCCTTTTAAAGTCAAGAGAGAGGCAGTTGGCCCAACACTCTCACAGCTTTGTACTGGATAGCCTAAGCAACACAGTAAGACAAAGGTGGAGGCTGAATGAAGAGTTAAAATCATCAGTATGAAGCAGAAGTATTCTTATTTGTAGACAATTTTCATAGAAAATCCAAGAGACTCTATAGACAATGCCTTAGAACTAATGCTTTTCAAGACTGCTGGATCCCAGATCAATTAGCAAACACCAATGCTAGTCATTTGGACTCGAAAGGAAATGTTTAAGCAGCACATTCATAATCATACATGACAAGCCTAAGAATAAATGCAGCAAAAGATTGTAAGATCCTCATGGGCAAAACTGAGTTTTACTGGAAGACATAAAAGAAGACCTCCTCATAAATGCTCATATCATAAAGAAGTCTAATTTCCCAACCCTTATTCTAATTAATCCAGTTTCAGTGCCAATCCCTTGTAAATCCAAAGGTTCTATCATGGACCTGAGACTGTGATCCATAGGAAGGAGAAAGACAAGCATATCGAGCTCGTTTCAAAGGGGGAAAAGGTAAGGGGTTAATCATGCATGATAGCCAGACTTGATATCAATCTATAATAATATAAATGGCATGAGACTGGCTTCTTTATCTACTAGAACAGTGTATGAAGTGTAGGAGCCAGGGTCTTTTTAAAAACAGTGAGAAAGGGAGGACCCATTCAAACAATGATCCTGGGAATACTGACTCTCCACGTGGGGAAAACCCTGAATTGGACCCGGACGTGCCACCGCCCACCGAGATCAACTTGAAGACTGTATAATGCTTCAAAATGGGAGCCATTGGCACTCAGAACAGAGCTCAGAATGAGGCCGGAAGGGTGGTGCTCCCAGATCCAGTCTGGGCTCACAGGCTCACACCCAGTCAGAACTTGGGGCCTTCTGTGTTTCTAGCAATAACTAAAGCCCGATTGCTCAAGAAAGGCCCAGGTTTTCGTGAGAGGGGCCATTAAGGAGCAGCCCTGGCAGGGAGAAGCGAGAGAGGAAGCACAGGTATGTGCCCTTAAAAGGCATCTCTGACATTTAACAACAAATGGCTCCGAGGCAACCTGGATCCAAATGACGATCCTTCTGGGGTGCCAGCACCGTGAGTGACGGCGAGCTCAGCTCCAGTCAGGACCCAAGGAAAATGGCCTGTTACACGCCAAGCAGGTGAGATGGCTAAGTGGTCCGCCTTGGGGTTAAAATGCTAAAGTATTGTTTCTAAGTGAACCAAGATGCTTGCTGCACTTTTAAGTATGGTGATTTTTTAAAAATCTCCAACAGCGAAGAAGAGCATTGTGGTGTGTGTGTGTGTGTGTGTGTGTAAGAACACTAGGATAACTCACAAAGAACAAAAATGACTTACAATACCTGATTTTAGAACAGATTTCAGGAAATGGAATCCTTTGTTTAAATCATTCCCTATAAATGTAGGGCCATGAAATTGATCTTTTTTTTTTTCCTTTTCTTTTTGCAGGGGAGAGGTTTAAAAAAAAAAAAAAAGCTTTGCTTTTCAGTCACATGCATGAAAATTAGGTAACCCCAAATCCAGGCGGAAGCATCTCTGTGAAGCCGCTTCCTTTTGTGCGTCCCTAGCCGACCTACCTGAATATTCTGGCGACATTGGTGCAGACATCCTTGTCCCCCACGTGCTGCTCCAGCACGGTGCAGAGCTCGGTGAGGGCTCCCGTGCTCAGGAGCGTACTTCTTGCCACCGGAGAATCCGCCAAATTTCTCAAGGTAGCAGTCACCTAGGACGAGCACGTTAGGCCATCTGTTATCTTTCTAGCAGGGACATAGAGCGACACTAAGGGGGCCCTGGGGGCACCGTGGGCCAAGCACCATGCTACTCAGGGAAAGATCAGGGGTACAAACCCACCAGCTGCTCCCGTAAGGTGTGCAGTCTCACAACCCCCCAGGGGGCAGCTGTAGGACTTCCCAAGCCTACAAGGTCACTCTGCGTCAGAACTGACTTCACGGCACTGGGGTAGTTTCACGCACTAACTCCTGCACATTGCCATCCAGTCAATTCTCACTCATGGTGGCCCAATAAGACAAAGTAGAACCGCCCCTCTGGGGTTCCGAGACTGTAACTCTTTACTGGGGTAGAAAGTCCTTTCTCCTGAGGAGCAGCTGGTGGTTTTGAACTGCTGACCCCGCAGGTACCAGCCCAAGGCATAACCACTACACCACCAGAGCTCTAACTGAGGTAATCAGCATAATTCATCCCATGCATTTCACTGCATCAATAACGAAGTGCTCCTGCTCTGTTCTCCCAACAGAGAACATGGGGTTGAGCCCAAGATACATGCAATGGAAACTTAACATACAGAGACAGCCTAACTTGGTTCAAAGGTAAAGAAGGAAAGTCATATTAGTAAACCCAAGTCAAAAGCCCAAGGGCAAATAACTCGCCATCAGAGTTTGCTAACAGCCTGAACTTCAGACCCATCCTGCCACAGGCTTCTCATTCTGTTTCTACAAGCAGCGCCCAATAGTGCTGTGGGCAAGCAATACTTAAATCCATCCATCTCATTCTCTCCCAAGAAGCAGGCAAGCATTGAGAACCTCACACATGAGGCTTATTTTGTAAACATGTTTCAGTAAGGTTGCCTCTGTAAAATGTGGGGAGAGAGCCCTTTAGTAAGCCCATAAAGCTAATGCTGCTGCCACCTACTATTATTTTCATATGCAGCGTCAGTTTTCCTCCCGGGGTAACAAGGAGTAATGGTTAGGCAAGGTAGCTCCGATCCAGGCCCCACTTATTATTACTAGCTTGTTACTGATCTGACCTCCCAGAGTCCATCTTTCTCATCGGCACCATGGTGATTGTTGGGTACCTGAGAGGAGGGGCTGATGTCACTGCCTTGGAGTGGGAGAACTTATGAGAACAATGTGTTACACCTCCACCGCACCTAAGCTACTGGGTGGGGCTTCGCACCCAGCATGTGAACACCGGCCTGAGAGTCGTGTCTCTTCTAACGTTGGTCACTTGGAAAGGCCACTCATTACTCAACTTCTCTATTGTCCAGTCTGAGGAAAGAGAGCTACAATCCCTGCTCACATGGCAGGGCGGCTGTGTGCACCAGACAGGAAACATGCAACAATGCTTTTTGTGAGTGTGTTCTGTGAAGTATTACGGAGATGCCTTGGTGAGGCAAACTACTAACCTAAAGGCTGGTGGTTTGAAGCCTAGCCATGGCACAGTCGTTAGGAACTCGGCTGCTAACCAAAAGGTCGGTGGTTCGAACCCACCAGCGACTCGGAAGGAGGGAAGACCTGAACACCTGCTGTCATACCGATGGAAGCCCCATAAAGGTTGACCCCTATGGGAACTCAGCTCTGCCACACACGGGGTCTCCCGTGAGCCCAAACGGACTCCCGGGGTGGGCTGGTGAGAAGGCGTCCTGTGACGATCGAGCATCCTCGTAGTCACAGTGAACAGCCTTTTAAAAACCGATCTTTGAAGATGGCATGCGTCTCTGGTCAGCTTTCCCTTGTAATGGCAGCAGCAGGCAGATCGTCTAAGTTCAAAACATGCCTGAGGATCTTGAGAACCGAGGAAGAACGAAGACCCCCTCCGATCAAAGTGTGCAAGCCTTTCACAGTCAATTCGGTTGTGCAGCAATTCTGGAAATTCTTCCCTGAAAGCTTCAGAAGTCCAAACGCCGGAGGGGAGACACATGACTCACACATTCCACTTAACGGTGGGTCTACAGTGTAGACGCCAAAGTGAAGGAGTAGGCGCCTGTGTGTGTGTGTGTGTGTGTGTGTGTGTAAAAGGGAAATCCTCATCGCTGCACCTGGCTCTCCCAGTGCTGTCTGCAGAGACATCCGAGGCATGGAGGGACTACTGGTTTACATCAGGCCCGGTGACGACCACACGCAGGCTTTCTTTTGAGGAGACCCAGAGCACAGAGGCCTGCGCGGATTCCCGCTGGCTCACTCGCTCGAACCACGGGAAACCAAGGGACACCCACTCAGATGGCTGTGCACAAGAAACCGTTCCTCTTCCCTGGCCCCCAGTGCTTCGGAGATTGCACACCCCTGATCGGGGCGCCCCTCCCGCTCCCCACGCCTAACCTCTGGCATTGCCAGCACAGGCGATGGCACTTTTCTGAAGAGCTTGTATTCTCTCGCTTCCCCCTCAGTATGGTCCCTCCCTCCCGACTCTTAGGAAGGGGCCCTGATGGTGGAGTGGAGCTACATGTTGGGCTGCTCCCCT